TTTGGAGAACAATCCATCAATTTCTCTCTCTCTCTCTCTAAAAAGCCACCTTTGGAGTCCATTTTTCTCCCTCCCTCTCTCTAAAAAGCCTCCATTTTTCTCCTTCTCTCTCTCTAAAGAGTATCAATCTCTCTCTAAAAGCCACCTTGGGAGTGCAATTTCTCTCCCTCTCTCCCTAAAAAGAATAAATCTCTCTCTAAAAGCCCACCTTTGAAGTGCAATTTTTCTCCCTCTCTCTCTCTAAAGAGAATCAATCTCTCTCTCTAAAAAGTCACCTTTAGAGGGCAATATCTCTACCTCTCTCGCTAAAGAGCCACTTTTGGAGAACAATCTCTCTCTCTAAAAGCCACCTTTGGAGAGTAATCTCTCTCTTCCCCCCTCTCTCCTCTCTCTCTCTCCTCTGTGAGTGTGACGTGGTTTTGTGTTCACACACGTGATTATACAAGATGTTCATGCTTCTAGGCCTCTCCAGTGAATGTCACTTTATGAGAGTCTGGTTTGAAAGCAATATGTCTTCCTCTCTCTCTCTCTCTCTCTCTCTCTCTGAATAGGAGGGACATGAATCACATGTCCTCATCGGAGATTCCGTGGCCATAAACCCTCTATGGCGACATACTCCGTTATATAATAGCACAAGCTCTTAATATATATGAAATAAGATAATCAAATAATGCCTAGTTTCTCCAAAGGGTACGGTTTTTATAGAACCGAGCTCTCAACAATCAAAATAAAACGCACCTTCAAGTAGTGTCGAGGAATGTAGTTTCAATATTAGAAATCTTTTTGATAGCCTTCAAATATATTTTGATATTTAATTATAAAATTTAAAGTTTTAAAATAGTGTAGATCGAGCAGATCTATGAAAGGTTGAAAATTGACGATCGAAAAATACATTACAACGTACACTATTTCCAAAATTCGAAATCCATTTTTTGTTCTCATGTCCATGTATCTTATGTCGAGATGATCAATTTGATGGTATTTGGGAATCAAAACAATCTCTTCTAGTGAAACTTTTAATGTGTGTTCTAATTTGATTGTTTAGAGCCTCGGCTCTATATAAACTTTTTCCTAAATGAAATACGATAGCCAAAGAATGACCAGTGTCTCCAAAATAACGAGGTGGTATGTAAAAATAATGCATATAACGACATTAGAACGGGCATAACATATGATTTTTTTTTATTTATATAAAAAGCCATTATACTTTAGGTATGGTTTTAGAACATGACATTACGAGAGTTGCAACTTAATTTCTATTACCTATTTGCTTTTATTATAAGGAAGCTATTATCACACTTTATTGTCTAGTAGTTGAGGGTGTATCATTGACTACACTCCAGAGTCCAAAAAGAAAAAATCTTTCGAACTTTATATCACACCCCACGAAAAGACAATTTTACATCTAACTACTACTAGGCAATTGTAACTTCCTTGACCAACCTCAGCATAAAAAAAGAAAACTTCAAACCATGTTATATAGGAAAGTATAGAATGAGATCATTTACCTTTGATACAAAGTTGTCACTTTAATTTTGACCATTGGATGTGAAATTGGGTGGTTGCAATTATTCTATTGACCAAGTTTAAACTTTATAAAGAATTTTCTCGAACTTTGTGATACATCCAAGCTATCAAATTTCACATCAAATGATTGTAAGGAATTGTGACTACTTTGTATCAAAGATAAATGGTCTCATTGTATATAATCCCTTACATTAGGATGCAACCGTATGTAAGGAAAACGTTTATAGAAGGATGCAACCTTATAATGTAAAACTACGAATGCACTTCAAAAAGCGATCAGAAAAAGTAGTTTTAATGTTGAAACACCCTTTGATTGATCATCTCGACATCGAGATGTATGACCATGAAAAATAAAAAGATTTAAGTCTAAAAAATAGTGCATTTTACAACATATTATCTGCACCGTCCATTTTCAAGATTTTCATATGTTTGTAGATCTACTTAATTTTAACTATTTTTTAAATTTAAAATTTTATAATTAGATATAAAAATAGATTTTGAGATAATCCTAAAAACATTTTACATCAAAATTATACACCATGAAAAAAATTGAAGGTGCACCTTACGTAGAGATGCATCCGTAGGCCAATTGCACTTTTATATATATATATGAAAATAATGTACAGAGATTGAACATAGACCATTAGATTTTTGGATAGTCAGATCTAAGAGTTTAAGAACTTCAATTTTTTTTTCTTTTTTGGAGAAAATAATTATTTGATGATTCTCTAATGGATCAAAAAAATTTCTTATTTAAAAAATCTTGCTTAATAGCTAATTCACACGTGGGACTAATTATACCGTATACTTCTCTAGAAGCATTCTATTCCCACTCTTTAGTATATCGAACAAATTAATTTTTAAGACAACTCGCTTAAAAACACATCTACCAAATAAAATAAGAAAAAGATCCGGTGATCCTGCAAGAGCAAATTGTAATTAGGTCCCAAGGCCAAATGACATTGGACTGAGAAGATTTGTTTGACCCCAAAACTCTCAAAGGTTTGTTTGATGCAAACCATTTCATATCCAAGATTCAGTCTAAACAGGCCATTTCATGGACAATTTTTAAGAGCTCAAAAGCCTTCTTTTTTTTTTTTTCTATTATTATTATTATTATTATTATTATTATTATTATTATTATTATTATTATTATTATTATTATTATTATTATTATTATTATTATTATTATTATTATTATTATTATTATTATTATTATTATTATTATTATTATTATTATTATTATTATATTA